GGAGATATAATGAAAAAAATCGAATTGAATCAATTCCTCAGAAAGACCGGCCACAGAAACTTGACGGCCGAGATAAACGTATTATTTTGAGAAAAGTAAAAGTGAACCCTGGTTTAAGTGCTCCAACATTAAGCGCTGAATTATTTCAAGAGACAGGAAAGAAAGTTCATCCAGATACAATATGTCGAGTGTTGAAAACAGATGGATATAATGGTAGAGTGGCGCGTAAGAAACCGTATATAAACAAGGCGAATCGCAGAAAATGATTAGCTTTTGCAAAACAATATGTTCGCAAGGAAATAACTTGGTGAAACAATGTAATTTTTGTCGATGAAAATAAATTTAATCTGTTTAACACTGATGGAGGAAATTAGTATGCCGTAAACGAAATCAAGAGCTTAACCGAATAAATTTAAATCTAACAATAAAGCACGGTGGTGGAAATATTATGGTGTGGGGGTATACTTCGTCAAAAGGAGTTGGACAACTGGTTTTTATAGAGGAAATTTTAGATAAATTTAATCTTAGTTTATCTAAATATTTTAAAACAAAATCTAAAGGAAAGTGCGACTGAAATGGATATAGAACACATATTTAAATATTATGAAAATAATGATCCTAAACATAAAGCCAATAGTTTAAGAATAATTAAAGAATATCTTCTATATGTATAATTGCCCCACAGTATTACATCCACCACCACAGTCATCAGACTTGAATTTCAGTGAAAATGTATGGGACTTTTTGGACAGGAAAATTTGGATCGAAGGAAGAATTAAAAAAGAACGATTAATTGATGAATGGAAACGTGTACCGCAAAGTTCCTTACAAAAAGTTATAGACAATATGCCTAAGCGGCTGCGACACGTAATTAAAGCTAAGAGCTCTCTCCAAAGAAATATTATTTATTGCTTATGTTAATAATTTTCATGTTTAAATATTATAATTTGTCAAGCGTCCGAATATTTTTGCGAAGTTAAATTTCGACATAATTTAATTCATTGTTTGGTATTGTATGTGCAACAAAGTATCTGCAATAAATAAATAAAATTTATGTTACTACAAACTACAATAAATGTTCTATTACACTATAAAACAAGAACACCCCAAATTTACTATTACAAACAATCGAATCCAGCAACAATTGTTTTTAACAGCATGATGTCCGAATATTAATAAGAGTCACTGTAGATAAACTGAATACACGGTATAGCAGGATTAGAATTGTATTTTGAAAACAGAGACCAATATATTTTATAATGTTATGAAGTATAGCTTCTAATTGATGTATTTCAAAAAAAGCAAGAAAATATTGTGACGTACACAAGTATCGATATACAATTTTTTTTTTATACAATATTTTATATAATATTTCTCATATATTATGTGAGAATATTATATTTTATTATGAGAACATTATATTTTATATAACATTTCTCATATAAAACCTTCACGTTTGCACCATGATTTTCGGTACGTTATCTACTCGAACAATTCCCGTTGAACCAGACAGCGTGTGCTAGAGCGAAAAACGGAACTCGAGCGGCTAGAAAAGATGATATTCCATTCACGTCTGCGAGATGATTTCGACACACGTGGGAAAAGCCGTGTGCAGACCACAGAGGACATTACCAAGGACGAGGTGACACGGCTGGAGGTGGCGTTCGCTAAGCTCTGCAGCGCCACCGGAGTGTCCAGGTCCGAGGACGTTCTGAACCGGTTTCTGGGTCAGCGGGCGACCAAGGATAATCTACAGAAAATGCGGGTGGCCACCGAGCAGGAGAAAATGACCTTAGAAAAGCAGCGGCAACAGTTTATCGCCGAGATAGAGACCAGAAAATTCTCCGAGACGAAGAATGCAGAGCAGTGAGTCAGTCAGTCGTTCTGTTCTACGTGCGTCGAAGGCAAATTCTATGTTCACTGCGTTTCGCAAAATCTAATGCTTCAGGAACGCGGAAGAAGTGGAGAAACTGAATTGCCGAATCGATGAGCAACGCGCGCGCCAATTAAAAGCCGAAGAAGAAACGCGAAGAATCGAAGAGCTTCTTCGGGAGATCAGATCCATGCTGTGGAACTTGTGCGATAAATTTCGGGTAAATTACTGAACCGCCACGATTTCAGTGAAAATAGAGTTCGAAAAATCCCGTTTCGTGTAAAAGGCGCTAAAGTGAAACTTAAAAAGAATTACAACGGTTTGTCAGCGGTTTTCGTCTTTTGACTAGCTTTATATTTGATCAGCAATGTTTTTTGTACGGAATTCGATAATAAAACGCGCGCGGTAATTAAAAGTCGAAGAAGAAACGCGAAGAATCGAAGAGCTTCTTCGGGAGATCAGATCCATGCTGTGGAACTTGTGCGATAAATTTCGGGTAAATTACTGAACCGCCACGATTTCAGTGAAAATAGAGTTCGAAAAATCCCGTTTCGTGTAAAAGGCGCTAAAGTGAAACTTAAAAAGAATTACAACGGTTTGTCAGCGGTTTTCGTCTTTTGACTAGCTTTATATTTGATCAGCAACGTTTTTTTGTACGGAATTCGATAATAGAACGCGCGCATCCCGGTTAGATGTAGAAATTGCACAGCTTCTTCGCAAGTATGCAAAACACAGTTGCGGATTAACTATCATATTATAACGTATATAACCAGCTTTTGTTCTGACGTCAGTTTTCAATTAACATGCAGTCGTTCAATAAACCGAGGAGATATCACAGTAAATTAACACTTCTCGAGGCAAAGAGTTCACAAAATCAAACCCCATCGGCTGATGTCATGTTAAAATGGCCGATGGAAATACCGTGTAAAACTCTAATTAAATTAGAGGAGCTGTCTTCAATGGCGCCAACCATAATGGAGCCGCCACGGGTTTTCGAACCGATTGTATTGTCTCAGGAGATTTAACACCCCTGACAGGCATCCCATTCGTTGGTCATCCACCAATGAATTTCTTTCAACAATCTCTGTCCACAATTCTCACCTGAGGAAGCCGTTGTCCGGCGCATTAACGCCTCCCGAGCTGATCGAAAGTAAATACATCGGTAGCACGTCGAGGCGCGAGAATATCGGTTATTGATTCAATCGATCCCTAGAATCCGTACTAGACAACCCTAACTCGTTAGCTCGCTTTCCGTTTTTCTATTTCTTCTTTCACTTCGCTGCTAGGTGTCTATCAACATTGCGAACCGAAAGAAAAATAAAACTAAAGGCTGAAAGAATTTGACACTCGAAGATAGTAGTTTGGGAATGTTTTCACTTCGTTCTGCTTATTTCCACTGTTACTAACGAAAGATATTCCACAGGACATACTTGAAACGTTACCCGAAGATCAAGGAGAAATTCAGGATCCGCTACTGCTTATAGAAGTAATAAATGATAAAATCAATAATGTGATTGAAACTTTAGGTGGCCCGGAGAAGTATCTTGAAGTTCTAAACGAAATGCTGATCGACAAGGTAAATTTTAGAATTTCTTGATGAATAAATAATAATTATTATATTTAAATTATATTAAATTATATTATATTATTATATTATATTATAAATATAAATATAAATATATAATTAAATATAAATTATATTATATTATATTATTATATTATATTAGCAACAACAGTATTTTTCTAAATATGATTGACTTTGTTGTAATAATTAAATATTTTGTTGGTATTACAAATATACAAAAGTATTTCTCGCAAAGGAGAGTTCAACCATTTTTATTTATAATACCAGCAGCAATTTTTCAAATGAGTTTAATGACACGGATCA